CAATGGGCCTTCATATATATGAAAGTTGGCCCAATATACATAATTTCTACTTTTAACTTTTTATTTCCAAACAAAAATACACTGTTTGGAGAAAATTACTCCATTCATGTATAAGTTTTTTATTTTGATTGTAGATGTTTTTCTTTAGTATTTATGAATCGGTATTGCTATGGAGCCATCGAATGGTTCGCTTTATGGAGTCATTTATAGTTATTCAAGTGTATTGATACGTAACCTGCAATAAATACACATTGAACACGTGTCAATACGTAAAGTTATTGATGGCTCCATAAGGGAGCCACTCCATAACATTTATGTTTTTAGTTTATAAATATTATTAATTTCTAACTTGCATAAACTATATGGAAAAAATTATTCTATTGATTTTTTTTTAATATTCTGTTTTAGATATTTTAATTCATGACTCGTTTATAAATAATTTATTTGCGACTTGAAAGAGAAAAAAAAATCGCGTGACACACCATCACTAACAGGTTGAATACAAAATCCATGCAGCTTATCCCACAGTTTCTTTGTTTTTATTTGGGTGTATTGCATGGCTATGGATTTTTTATTTTTTTTTTTTACAATAAAAGAGGCCGAAGTCTAGAAAATACTAAATCATCACACGGCGTGGACGAGTCACTCCTAATATCATAGTTCAGCAATGCCGAAGCTCCGGCGGCGGGTCCATAAGACGATGAAATCCCACTTCAACACCATTTATCAGCCGCGAAGTTTCCTTCCCTATAGATAGCCTATCTATAGGTTGGGCCTTTTCTTGCTCGTTAGCCTCCTTCCTGAGTAAATCCCGAATAGCTTGGATAATGGATTCATGGAGCCCGAGATTTACCTCAGTCCCCGAGACCATGGCCACGACACTGCTGTTATCCACTTCCACTAACACGTGACGCGTTCCCAACTCCCACGCCAGGTGAAGTCCATGATAAAGACCCCATAGTTCCACCCCAGTGATCGAGCAAAACCCCACATTCATAAGGAACCCGCCAATCCATCGACCATAAGTATCCCGGGCTAGCCCTCTAGCACTACCCCTTCCAGAAGCTGTACACAAAGCGCCATCCGTGTTAACCTTAATCCAGTTAACCGGAAGAGGACTCTAACGGATCATTATTTCCTCATAGCGATGATCACCCGCACCCAACGCATTTGCACAAGCCGTGTTGCACACGTAGTTGTCCACTCGTCTCCAAATATCCGAGAGTTGCGACTCAAGCGACAATGTCCTGTTCGAAACACCGCCATGTTCCGCCAAGCCCATAAGCACCAACAGGTTATAGAAAAAATAGTAGCCCAATTTTCCAGACCATTAGAAACAGATTCCACCAAATTTACCCACAGCCACACGCTAACATCTTGGGAGAAAAAATTCCGTCGACTTGCACTCGGAATTAGCTGCAACCATAGCCGCCGTGCTTTCTCACAGTCCCGGAGTACGTGTGTCGTGGACTCGGGCAGACCACAAAATAAACATGCAATGTCGTCAGCCATATGTCGACGAGCCCGTTCCATGTTAGTAAACAATCGATCCCGGCTGGCCAACCATAGAAAATGACGTACCCGTTGGGCAGCCGGCGCTTTCCAGATAGCTTTCCACAGCGGCCGGACATTGTTCTCGACCCTTCGCGACAGAGCTTTATAAGGCGTCCTCGTCGAGAAAGCTCCATTCGACGTGTACCCCCATATCATTCGATCAGCCCGAGCCGAGGAAGAAGGTGGCATCACCGCCGCGACAATCAGCAAGGCATTGGTCGGCAGGAATGTCTCGAATTTCTCCCACCACCATTCACCCGTCCTCGTAACAAACGCAGCCACTGGTTCATGAAGCATCTCCTCCGGCGGCCTAACTCTTGCCATGTTGATCAAAGGTTCCTGCATGTTCAGCCATATATCCGTCCAGAACCGCGCTTACCGCCCATCACCCAAAGCCCATCGCACACCTTGACGGACCTGCGCCCAAACCTTCGCCACAGCATTTAAGCAAACCGACCCCTTGGGAAAAGTGAACGCGCCAGACATCTCATGAGGACGTAAGTTATATTTGGCACACATAACTCGAACCCACAATGTAGACGGTTTAGTGAGCATAACCCATCCGAGCTTCATTAACAGGGCCTCATTCATAACCTTCGACTGCTTAAGCCCAAGACCTCCACAGTCACGCGGTTGACAAATATCCACCCACGACACCAGGTGTGGCTTACGGTGCTCCGACGATCCGCCCCAAAGAAAGGACCGACCATACTAGTCAAGCTTATTACAAATTGTCGAAGGCAAGGCCACCGTTTGCATGGCGTAGTAAGGAATCGAGAAAAAAAAACCTATTGGGTTAGAGTTAATCTCCTCGCCGCCGATAGGGATGCCGCTTTCCACACGGCCAGACGATTTTTCGCCTTCTCTAAAATCCCCGCGTAAGTAGTTGTTTTAACCCTGCCGTGAATTAAAAGCATTCCCAAATACTTACCTAAATCCTCGACCCGTGCATAACCCAAACTCGCCGCGATGTCCCGGCCCCATTCATCATCCACCGAAGACGAGGAAAACATTTGTGTTTTCGACGAGCTAACCTTCAGGCCCGACATCATACAGAACTCTCCAGGACATCGCGCAATACTTCAGCTTGCCCCCTATTGATTTTTAATTTGTTATATAACTTATTTTTGTATTTATGTATCTTCCTATGTGATATAAGATATTATACTAGACCGGGTTAATAGATAAAATGAATACATATTGGAGGATAAACTCACATATGGACTAAGACATATAGAATAACGACATGGACCAAGCCCAACTTGAGCCAAAAGGTACACTCCCCCTATAAAAGGCGGCTAAGGTATCTCATTCTCTCATTCTCTATTCATTCATTACCACTCTCTCTCTCTCTCTCTCTCTCTCTCTCTCTCTCTCTCTCTCT